TGGAGAGCCATTTGAACAAAAGTTCATGATTTTTTTAATTTTATTTGAATTATTAGAATTATTTTAATTTCTATGATATTTATTAAATATAAAATATTTTAAATAAGAAAAATTAAGTTTTGCATTTTTGAAAAATCTCCCTGAAGTCAAAAAACCCAGATAAGCAAACTTTATATTTTTCTGATTTTAGTTTGATTTATTGGAATTATTTTAGTGGAAACCCATTTTTTAGCTTTTAAAAATTATTTTAAGTTTCAAAATACAATATCATTATTTAGAAAATTGGGAAAAATATTCCAATTATTTCGAAGTGCTTAGAAAACAATTTAGAATATTTCTATGAATTTTATTAATTTTGTGATTTTATGAATTTTTTAATTATTTAAATAATTAAAAATGGGCTTAAAAATGAAAATTTTATTTTAAACATAATTTTCTTTTTATAAAATTCTCCTGATCACAGAGAACTCAAAAAATAAGTTTTCATAATTTTTTGAGTTATATTTTGATCATTAAAACTTATTTTAGTGCCAAAAAAGATATTTAACTTGAAAAATCAATTTAGGCCATCAAATTGACTCAAAATGCTTTAAAATTTTTATGGGGAGTTCTCTGCATCTTAAAAAATAGTGAAGATTAAAAACCAAGTCATTTTTATGTTTATATTTTCCAAAATTAATTATCTTAGTGATTGAAGGTTTAGGCAAATTGGGTTTATAAGGTTTAGGCAAATTAGGTTTATTTTGAATGATTTGACTCATGAGAAATTTTTCTAAGGGTTCTTTAGTAATAATAAATCTATCAAATTTTTCTTGGATTTTTTTAAATAACATGCTGATTATTATGATTAATTTAAACAAATAATGTACGAAAACTTGAAAAATATGGTTCTCTGTCTAGAGGTCTTCTCTAGCTTTGAAAAAATCAAAGAATCTTCCTCTTGATAAAGGCTACAACATGCCAAAATTTCAAGCCATGGTGAAATTTCTATATGCATGAAGAATCAAAAGACTCAAAACAGTGTTTAATTAATTAAAAATAAAATGTGCATCAAATGGACTTCAAATTATTTCCACATTGTTTTCCTTTGTTCACTGAGCAAGTGAGTATTTTTATTTTATTTTTGTGATTTTTCTACACCAAGATATGAATTTTTGAAGTTAAGAGTCATTTTCTAAATTTTTTAATTCCCTATTTATCTATTTAAACGCGTGGCGCCTCGTCAACCTACTACGGCTCTAAAACTCCACGCGGCGCGCTCCCATTCGACGCTGCCATCCACTTCAGCGCTGACTTGACCCGCAGCTTATGTCCTGAAGTGCTGTCCGATTTCATCTTGACCGTCCATCCGATACACGCTTGATCGAACGACGCTCCGTCGTCGTCCCCGATAACCTAGCTCTAGAACCGTCCATCTTCCAAACTTGATATCTCCCTCATTTCTCAGCCAAACTAAGTGAAATTTTTTTAAAATGCTCATCTAGACTAGAGGAACATATTCATACGGTTAAGATCCCATGAAATTAAGCCCAAGAAAATGGAGAATCAAAAGAAGCTCAGAAGGAGAAGAAGTTCAATACCTTGGCTCTGAGAAGGGAAGCTTCGATCAGAGGCGCTTGGCACGTTCGTTGGAGACCAAGGAGGCTAGGGGTTGAGCCTCTTGTTGTGGTGTAAGGTCTAGGCATGAATTCAACTAAGCTCGATTTCAGGTTTTGATCAAAGTCTATGCTAGGGGCTCAATGGAAGGGAGATTTGATGGGGCTTTGCCTTCCCTTGCTGTTGTAAAGGTGTGGGCACAAGTAATTGGAGTTTGGTGGAGTTTTAAGGGATGTCCCTTTCTGCACTAATTTTTTAGCTCAAAATTAGGGTTACACAGGAGGAATTAGGGCAATGGAGTGATTGGATTGCACTATGGAGGTCTTGAGGAAGTTCTGTGAGTGATTTGGAGGTCTCTGTCTGAGAAATTTTTAGCTCCCCTTCTATGGCTGTGGGGGGGGGGGGGGGGGGGGGGGTGGGCGTTTCTATAAATGGACATCTCATTTGGATGAGGTAGCCTCTTGGTTTGATTTGAGTGAAGTTAAAGGGGAGGTGGCCCTTGGTTTTGGCTTTTTCGGTGACTAAGTCGGCCGGCCATGACAAGGGGAGGTGGCTAGGAGCTTAGAGAACCCAGGGGAATATGTCATAGCAATTTAATGAGCTGAGGCTTAATTTTGGCAAAAAGAATCTTAAGCTTAAGCAAATATGGAATCAAAATCCCTTGATTCAGAGGACTTTTGATCCATGGCTTAGCTTAGGTGGTTTTATAGGGTTTAGCTTGGTCACTAGGGCCCCACTAGGGTCCAACTAATGCTGTGGAGTCATTAATTTGGTGGCTTTCGAGTGGTTAGGCTAATTTTAGTGCATGGGTCCAATGTGGGTTCAAATGACCAAAACTTAGGTTTGGGCTAGGCTATCCATGTCAATTGACCCTCCATGTCAATTGACCCAAACCCAATTTATTGATGCATTTGATGTAGATGATTGTAATGAACATTTTTGGTGAAGGGTTGAAGTGATTTTGAGTTCAATTGGAGGGTCAATTTGAAGGATTTTAAAGATTTGGTCATTTTGGGCATGTTGGGCTAGACTTGGGTCTAGATTGGGTTAGCCTTGGGATAAGTCCAAATTGATTATTGATAATGGTCAATAGGAATGCCATGAAGAGTTTGCAACGTGAATTGGGTGCCAATTTTGGGGCTTAAACATTCAATTTGGTGAAATTTGGAGGCATAGCCAATTTGGGACAAAATTTGGGGCATTTGGCCTAGGTTGAAATTAAATAAAATTGAGATTTCACTAAGACTAATTGATGGTCAATTTTGATTTGTAGGAATGTTATAAAGAGTTTTCAATATAAACCATGTCCAATTGAGGGGGCTATGGATTCAGTTTGGTGAGACTAGGTCATGTGTCCAAAATATGGGTCCAAATTGGGGGTTTGACCTAAATAAAAAATTGGGTTCAAAGCATGGGCCAATTGAGCTTGGATTTGGTTTAGATTGGTCATAGGAAAGGTGAATTTAAGTTTATGATTGAAATTGGGGAAAATGGGGACCAATTTGATGTACATTTGAAGTAGATTTGGGGAAATTGGGCTTTTAAAGATAATTTGAGGGTTTTGGTCAAAATGGTCAAATTGGACAAATTTGGGTCATGTGGTAGTTAAGAAAAGTGAAATTAGGAATATTTTGTGAATTTTTGGAATTTTTTGGAATTTTTGGCTAAGGAGGGGTATTTTGGTAATTTGACAATTTTTGGTGATTTTTGGTAATTTGGGTGTTTTCAAAAAGTTTGAAATAATTTTTGAACAAGTTTGGGTATTTTAGATAAATTTGGGAATTTTGACCAAATTTACGGTTTCAAGGGTACTTAGGTAATTTGGGGGAGTTTAGAGGCACAAGGCCAGGCTGAGTATTTTGGGTAAAATTGGGGAACTAACCACCAAAAGTAAGCAATGGACCAATGAAAACCCCATTTGGGTCCTCTATGTACTGGTTTTAGCTAAACCCTAGCCGAAGTCTAGTAGGTTTAGGGGACCATCTACATGAGTTTCCCAAAGGCTCAAGGGACCAAAGTCGTGAAATTCTGGGTTTAAGGTAGTGAGTGATTGTGAGTGAAGTGAGTGCCTTAGCTCTAGACTAACACTCAGGGTCAACCCTAAGGTCCAACATTCCTATAGGAACTCTCCTTGAGCTCTCCCATAATGACCCCACCTACTAAGTGCTAGAGGTTAGGACCAATATGTGGAACTTCAAGTTGAGTAAAGAAGAGTTTAGAATTTTTAATGATGAGGGTGCCTTTTTCTAGTTCTTTAAGAATAATCAATAGGAAAGTCTTATGGCTAGACCCTAGGCTACTAAAGAGAAAGACTAGACCTCAACCAAAAATGAGGTCAACAATATATATATATATATATATTCATTAAACTACCACCAAATAAAACTCGAATATTTCGCTGGTAGGGGTGTAAACGAGTCTAGTTGAGCACCTGCCATCCTCTTTAGCTTGAGCTTGATTAACTTTATCAAGTTCAAGCTCTAGCTCGAGCTTAAGTCTAAAAGTTCGAGTGAACTTGCGAGTCAGCTTGTTTATCATAAAAAGAAAAAAAAATATTATTTTAATCTAACTTTATAATAAGATGTCAAATTGAATAAATAATCAGAAAATAAACAATGAGAAATCACCTAATATACAATACTAAATATTATTTTTTTAAACATTTTTAATACCTCAAAGATAAAAGTCTTAAAAGTTAATATATTTTTAGTATTTTTTATATTAGCATTTTTTTAACGAGTCGGCTCACGAGCTAACAAGTAGTGTTAGGATTAGTTTGAGCTCGACTTATTGGCTCATCAAGCTTAGTTCACGAGTAGGGTTGTCAAAACGGCTCGTTGTTCACGAACAACTCATGCTTGACTCGTTAAGAAACTCACGTTCGACTCGTTCACTAAGTTAACGAGCCAAACATAAACAACACAAACCAATATTTGTTCGTTCGTGTTCGGCTCGAAATACTACTAGTCAATTATATATATATCTTTGATGAGTAGTATTTTTTAAAAATTTAATTGATTACAAGGCTACACATATTTATAATCAATTAAAAGTATTAATGAATAAAATATAATAAAATTATTAAATTAGATTTAAATGATATTTTAAATCTTGCCCCAATCGTTAACATCTTATTGTTAGGTGATTAAAGTTGTCAAAATGACACTTTGTTCATAAATGACTAGTATTTGACTCGCTAAGCAAACGAGCCGAACACGAACACACTAGCTCTGCTCGTGTTCGGCTCGTTTATGCCCCTATTCACGAGCCACTAATGAAGTCATGCTCGAACCGACTAAAGAGCCAACTTGACTCACTTACACCCATGAGGGCTGATCATGGCAAGCAGTGCCGCCTTAGCAACACATAATCAATAAATAATCAATTATATTATCAAAGAAAAATAGGCTCTCCCGTCCTTCGTGTTTACGCGGCATAATGGATCACTTGGAGAACAAGCTACAGCCGCAATAAAAAGGTTCTCTTTGCCCTCTCGAATCCGCAATTTATTCGACAAAGAGTACGCAGTCGGCTAGATTGAGAGCCAAACAAAATGATCGAGGTGGTGTTGAACGATCGGCTGGGGAAGAAGGTGCGGGTGAAGTGCAACGAAGACGACACCATCGGCGATCTCAAGAAGCTGGTGGCCGCTCAGACTGGAACTCGGGCGGACAAGATCCGCATCCAGAAATGGTACAACATATACAAGGATCACATCACCCTGAAGGACTACGAGATACACGACGGGATGGGCCTCGAGCTCTACTACAATTAGCTCCATGTACGCTTCTCTAGATCGAGTTTGGTTTTGGTTCTGATGATCCGTGTCTCGTTTTTTCTGTATTAAAACTTAATTTATTGGCTCAATCGTCTTGTTAGGGTTTGAAAAATATACTCCATGTCGGTCTTGTTATGGTTGTAAGAGATCGTGTTTTTAAAAAGTATGCGTAAGAGAAATATGCTTTAATTTCATTGGTGTTAGACGTTATGTAAGAAGATGTTGGTCTGTTGATTCCTTTTTTGGTTGAATGACGGATTTATTGTAGTGGTTTCCTTTCTTCACTGATAAGAACGTTGAGATAATGATGATTCAGTTATATTGAGAACTCGGGGCATCATCAGAAAATTTGAAATTTTCACTTGTTGTTTGTACATTTGTAACCTCTGGAATGCACCTATTTCACCTAGTAATTTTGAAGTTTAGTAGAATTTTATAGGATACTACAGTTTCGGATGCAGAAGGATCCAACTGTTAGGACATAGTACAGATGGCTTGTGCTCACCACAGAGAGGCCTGTTTATGATGAATAATACATCTATTTAGCATAGAGATACTTAATAGTGCATCAAATAAATATGTAATTTGCTTTTTAACAACTTATTAGGGAGATGGAGATTAGATAGCTCCTGGAACGGATTGAAAATCAACTAATCAAATTGTAGTATTTTTTGCAGATTTGTAAGAAAAAAATATGTTTCACCCATTTGCTTTCCACAATTCCTTGGAACTTATAATCTGTGTTCCTCACCAATGATCTTGTTCCCAACTTAGGAGTGGTTGTCTGGATTCTTAACATTGGGGAATATTTTCAAATGGATTCATGAACATGCAATATTTTACGCTAGAGCGTTCGAATAGGTTTCACACATATAATTCTTTTTCTATGTAATTGAGTAAAATGGAGCATTCAAGTGACGTGAGCTGTGAAAGGGGTTTTTTCCCGTCTTCGAATTTTGACGCGCTCTTCAACTTACGAAGTGTTCATACACAATGATTATAGTGGAGTATGTGAACAATTGTATAGTTCTTGTGTATGGGTGTCTACCCTAATTTCTTCCTTTGTTAATTGTTGAAGTAACACCTATGATCTTTAAATATCCAAGGAATCAATTTGTGTTATAATCGAAGGCAACTATCAACTAAATCCTACGTTTGTGATCTCAACATAGGTGTCTCATTCAAAACAACAAGCAACTAATATATAGGACTTTTAGACAATATAAAAATAATAAGACATATTTCCCTTAAACACTCAAAACCTCCGTCACTAATTATTCATCTTTGACTAAATTTGCAAGCCTTCTTACCAAAAACTCAATGAATATGAATAGACTAGCGGCTCTATGCAACCCATATAGCTCATTCTCCTCCATTGCTTGATAGCATCTATGTGTAGGGACGATATTGAGTCAAGTTCAAGTAAGATGGCCTCAAATTAAAAAATATATATTTTTTAATTTGGGTCGAGTTGGAACTACGTTATTTAGATGTTATATATTACTTTATTCGTGCCATATTTTTTTCAATTTTAAATTGTTTTCTAGATTCCTAATATTTGTGTGTGTGACGTGCACTTGCACACTCACTTGTGCGTGTTATTATAATATTAAATGTATAAGTGCGTATTTGTGTGAAGACAAACATATACTTGTGAGTTTCTAAATCTAAAGTTAAATTAAATTAATTTCTATTGTTTCTTCCTTATTCTAAGAAATTGATTTTGATTTCTAGTGGATTAAAATCTGAGCAATGATAATGAGAGTTATATTTTAGATATGCATGCATGATACTCTCTGTAAATCACAAGTTTATGACACCAACTAAACATGTTTGAGATTAGAGTAGGTTATGGGAGCTTGTGATAAGGTTGCTACATGTGTTAAAAATGATTTGATAGGTTGTAATGAAAAACCGAATATTCTTTGCACCCCCTGCTAGGCTGAGATGTGATAGGTGTCAAATTATAACTTGTATTCACAAGGAGGATATTACTTGTGTTTGGAAGGTTGGCAAAGAGCCTTTTTGAATATTATTGGTTTATGGAGAAAAGATGGATTCATGCTGGGTTTTACGCAAGAAAACTAGGGAAAGGGGCAACGAATAGGGTTGTGGGGCTTGAAACCTTTGTTTAAGAAAGATGGGGTGTTTTTTTTTCTTGGGTGGGTGGATGGGGGTCTCGGGTTAGTTATATTAATATTAATGCACCATTCTTTAGGGTTGATATGAGAAAGTATGGGCTAAAGATTTTTTTATATTAGCTAATTTGTCAAATACTATTGGGTTGCCTTAGGCCAAAGAATGAATTATCTGAGTTAATTTGGCAATAACCCTGCACGATATACCCTTTATGTCATTTATTTGTGTTGGATGTATGCATATTTGCAAGCAGAGCTTCTCATTTATAAGAAGTAAATCACATAATATGCATTCCTATTTCACTTTATGGATGGACCATGTTTATTTAGTGTACAAAATAAGAACTCGATTCAAATTGCTTGAATTTACGCATTTAATTTTTTTAAAAATAAATTTTGAAAGTTTAAGGGGTTGCTAAGAAAAGAATCTCTAAATATGTTTATATTTACTCATGTTATTGCTAATGGTGCTTGTGCAAGGACATTATTAGCCATGCATTTTTGTAAAAAATTGTTAATCTAGTTTCTTGAGTGAGGTAGTTTTCCATATTTATTCAAATGACTTGCCAAATATGCATTTATGTTGTGCGAAGTTACATTTTTAAATAGTTCAACAATAGATAGATGTCTTTCTTATTCATAATATCTATATTCATTGATGCATTATATTAGTTTATTTCTCATGAATGTTAAATGTTAATTTAAGTTTATTGTTACCTCTAAATGGGACCAATATGAAATTAAGGTTTAAAGATATATGGTGGTGTACCTAGAGTAATGCCCCTAGGACCAAGAATGAGATATGTTCATTAAGGGCTCGTATTGGGAGGAACTTACGAGATTGAGGAGTGATCGTGGTTGATGGAGGCCTAATTGTTCAATGTAGTAAAAATGTAACTTGTTGGTAGTCAAATCTCAAAAAGATAGAGCTTTAAATAACTCAATTTCAATAAAAATTGAGTGAGTTTTACCAAATACTAAGGTGTGTGAACCTTTGGTTGTGAGAATTAAAAGAGAAATTTTGAGGAGTTCTGATTTTCATTCAAGCTTCACAGTTATCTCACAATGGAGGCTTATTTATATCCTTATTTCATAAATTCATTACTAGTAATGATAGAACTTGATGATTCATATAAGCTATTAATTAAGTTAATGAATTAGATACCTTATCTCATTGCTTAAAACATAAAATGATGACAATAATCCCTTATAAATGGGAAAATTTCTTATTTTACTCTATGAAAAATGGCCAATTACTTTATGAAAAATGGCCAATTACTTAAAAGGAGGATTTTGTGAATTCATTCTAGGCTAAATTTTTTAATTTTCTGTGCACAGTCCTTTTTCATTTTTTTTTTCTTGATGTCTCCTTTAGGAATTATTCAAAAGAATGCAATTTCATAGTTCATTACCTTTTTTCCCCCATAATTTCACTTCTCCGCATTGAAATTTTTTTTAATGCAAATTACTTGAGAGCTTTTTGGATCACTAGATAAAGGTTTCTTGTCTATTGCCTTGGTATCATGATGTTATGCTTGTTGTTTTGGCTGCTTAGTAGTTGCTATGTTATGGATGCGGTATTGGTCATCCTATACTGCAACTTGTTCTTACGGGATGGAGGAGAGAGAGAAAGAGGAAGATTTTAATTGTGTTTAATTTTTTTATTCTTTAAGCTTCATTGTACTATTGGAAAACAATGTATTCCTTTTTCATCATAAGGCTGAGCTATTTTACATAAATGAGGGTCGGTGGTGCTCTATTCAAAATGGAGCAAAGTTTACCATGTTGAGATTTATTGAACTTGTCATTCTACATTTTTTTTTATTTTCGTCTTGATAGAGATGTGAAATTAAAGATGACAATAAGGAGGATGGGATGAAAGTTGAACTTTGGCCCAACTTGATTTAGGATCAGGATGGGAAGGGATTAGTGATCCTTGTCTCAATCCCAATTCTGTTGATCCAAAGTTAAGGATAGGAATGGTAACTATTTGCAAAACCTGAATAATTTGTTTACATTGGCTTATTTTATAGTTTTCGATTGGAATTCAAATGAAATAAATCTAGAAGAGGTTTTGTCCAAGTTTTGGCTATATAATGTCAATGAGAGAATAGGATGTAGAGTTAGGGTTTTGTTTTATTTTATGTTTTAAGATGTAAAGTCAAAATTGGATTGGATGTTTTTTACTTCAATTTTTTTTTGCACTTCATTAAATCTTGCCCTTGTATTATTTCCTGCAATTATATTCGTAAAGTGAGGACATGAAGGAGTTGATACATCTAGAGAAGTGCTTATTATAGACAGAAAGAGTAGTAAGGGAATTAATTCAATTATTTATGTAATTCTATAGAATTGGAATTAGATTTCCATAGGTATGAACTCTTATAAAAATTGGAGATAAGTTTTACATTAATAAATTTAACTAAGTAAGCTCAATTGAATATTAATGATGTTTCACATTTATTTAAATGATTTGATCAATTCATCTTTAGAATATAAGAGGATACAGAGAGGGAAGCCATGTTGTCTAGCCAATCTTTATATAAGGTGGTTAGCTAACAATATGTTATCCAACCACCTCTTCATGGATTATAATATAATACAGAGAGGGAAGCCGTGTTGGCTAACCATTCTTTATTCAAGGTGGTTAGCTAACAATGTGTTATCCATCTACCTCTTCATGGGTTGATTGGTCTTTTTTAATGATGTACATCCGTTGGTGCTTGTCTGTTTCTTGTAGTCTTTAAGTAGCTTTACATGTTGTTTCATAATCGTCGATGCTATTGAAATTGCTGATTATAAATCTTGTTAGATTATGGTAGCATAAATTGATTTGATTGACTAATACTTGAAGCGCCTTCTGGA